CCATCGCCGGGACCTCCACGCATACCGTCGCTTCCTCCCGCTTATCTCTTGACACAGAACTTCTCTTGGAACATATTGTTTTGCCTCTGAATGCACATTTAAAGCAGAAATAACGGAGAAGGTCTGGGCTTTTTTTGGCGAGAGAAAGATATTCAAGTAGTAGGATTACGGAGGAGTTCTGAAGGGGAGAATATTACTATGGTTTCCAAGGTGAGAGTTTCGATGGAATGTTAATTAGTATTTGTTTTTATGTCTGTTGGTTTTGTGGAAGTTGTGTCTGTGATTTCGTTGTGTTTGATAAATTTAAATGAGTTTCAGTTGATATGTAAGAAAAATGTGATAATCGTTAGAAATATCCAGGCACATATTGGTGATATTTTTCTGTGTCACCAAATCCAAGAAAAAGCATACAATAATGATTTGAACCAGTATTAGTGTTTTGTGTTCAGTAATATCTGTTCCAAACATTAGCATTTCACAATTACAACATGTTCATTTTTTACGTGATATAATGTAACTCTTCACTTGTAATAACCAAGTCACCTAGTACCTGTAGTATGATTTTATCAAAACTGCTTTTAGAATATAGTTTGATTGGATGATATTCTGAGAGTGTTCATGCTTAGGGTCATCAAGTGAAGATAAGACATATAATTGTTTTTAAAGCTTAGGTATGTATTTCACTTGCTGGTGCTTAGCAACATAAAACAAACAAACTCTTGCATTTTGCACTGCTATATGAAACTGACATTATTGAAGTTTTCAGCTTTTTCACTGTGTCCACTTTATGTATTTATTAAATATAAGATTGATAAGATCTTCCTCAAGTACTTACTAGGCTAGCTTTTATGTTTCTTCCATTTTTAATCCACCTATAGTAGGAGCTCTTAGATATTAATCCAAGATATTTTGTTACAGCTACAATGTTTTGTGGCACTCACCTTTGGCTTGGTTGCTGTTCTGTATCAAATCGACACTGACACGGAGACATGGGAGGCAAAGCAGATGGCAACAATTTATGCAACCCCAGAGCAGATGGAAAGGTTCCTCCTCAATCCAGATACTGTAGAAAAGGTATGAGCTGTGCCAGTACAAAATTTATATATTGGCTGATGATTTCAATTTTATATATTTTCTTATCTTTTTAGACAAATTGTGCAGGGAAGTTGTTTGATACAGAAATTAAAAATATGAATTATATAATGAATGTAATGTTTAACTCTTTTTCTGCCTTTAATTACTAATACATAGATTACAGTAGTATTAACACTAAGAAAGGAACTTTTAAAAAATCCCCATAAAGAATAACTCCTGAAGATTTTCCTAAAGGATACCAAAATGAGGGGAATAAAAAAAAAAGAAAAAAAAAAAAAATCCTTCTGCCGGCTCAATTTACAAAAATATAATAGAAAAAATGTACATAAACTTCAATAGATTGCCAACAAAAGGATAAAGAATATAGGTTACTGTTACTGAGAGCGATGCACGGAGATAGAGCAAATGCCATCTTGTAGAGCATCTAAAATAGAGTAGGAATCAATACATCTAAATCTGCAGCGGCCACATATTTGGCACTCTCCAGAAGTTGAGTTCAAGAAATGTACAATATCTGTACACACAATAAAAAAGATATGCAATATTAGAAAACTGAAACCTCTCTAAGCTGTAATAATTTTTATGACTATTTTATGAAATCTGTCAGCCCCCATATCAACTCTAACAAGATTATGTATTAAGTCTTATGTATTAAGTATTGACTCCTTAACCCATTGCCGACAGCCTGGGCATATACGTACACGCCATGCCCATTGTGAGTTTACTTGTTTAACCCATTGCTACTGGGGGAAATGAATAAAAAATGGGAAAAATGCTGTGCTCATTTTTTATATTTTTTTGTGAAATATCTCTACACATACATGGCTCTGCCTTACCTGATTTCACCTTTCCTTGAATTGGCGGGAAAATGTATTTTTTACTAGTGCTATGAATATCGATGGTGTTATTTTTATTATAAACATCATAATTGCTATAATGTTATAAACATTAGTGATAGCAAAATAAGATAACGTAAAATATTTTAGTAAATTAAAGAAAAGGATACACAGGTGAAACAGGCATTACTCGTAATTGGTTCATTGGTGATTTAGAACAAGTGTAGCCATCTATGTGTAAAAACAATTAAACAAGTAAACTCACAGTGGGCATGGCACGAACACGTGACATGCATGTCGTGAATGGATTAATTGTTTTTACACATAGTAAAAAGTACTTTTTCTTGCCAATTCAAGGAAAGATGAAATTAGATAAGGTCTCAAGATCTACTAGTTGACTGCTTTGTGGCTAAGCACAAGCAAAGCCATCTGTGTACAGAGACGTTTTCACAAAAATATAAAAAGGAGCATAGCATTTTCCCCATTTTTTATTAATTTTCCCCGGTGGCAGTGGGTTAAGATATACTCTGTGGGTGTGTGAAATGTACCAATACTCCTTTAGATTTATATATGGTAGCACAGTGGTTTTGTTGAGTTCAACAGAGTTGGAGGGATAGTGAATTATATAATTATTTTCTTTTGCTCTTCATATTAGTTGAGTACTTTTCTGTATCTAGAATGGAATGTCATAGCAATACTTACAGTAACTGTTTTTTAGTTTGGTCAGTATTATATATGCCATTTTTTGCATTGTTTATCTGTGTATTCTTACCAATTTTGATATTGTTTGCAGTGGTTCCAGTGGGTCTCTATTTTCAAAGCAGCTGACAGCCGGCCTGTGGGAGTTGGGAAGAAGTACCAGGCAATATATAATCTACCTATTTTTGGTAAATAGAAGATTTTTTTTCTGTTTAGAAATTTGTGCAGAATTTCTTTATGATATATGTATTTAAGAGGTATTTTTAAGATTATAGAATTTATGTATATATATTCTGTAGTTTTATAACCTACTTAGTGTCTTTAATTCTTTTATTTGTGTAATGAAATGAAGATTACATGTCATCTTTAATAATTGAATATATGGGCTGCACAATTTTGCTATCCTGCACAGTGAATATTCAAAGACATGGTTGAGATATGTGAGACATTATAGAATTGATGTATATATATTCTGTAATTTTATAACCTACTTATTGTCTTTGATCTTTTTATTTGTGTAATGAAACGAGGATTATATGTTGTCTTTAATAATTGAATATATGGGCTGCACAATTTTGCTATCCCGCACTATGAGTTTTCAAAGACATGATTGAGATATGTGAGACATTTGTTAAATAACACAGAAAAAAAAAAAAATCTGTTTTATTGTTTCACTTGGAGAGTTGAAATAGAGTAGGTATAGTACAAAGTAAATACCAATTATATTTCACTTAGCTCTCATTTCAAGGTGATATGATTCTTTAATATAGGATATTAGTAAAAAGCATGAACCATGGATGATATGAAATTCCTTCTTTTCAGGTGAATATGTGATGCTTATGCGTGTTATTGAATATAAACCAAAAAGACTGCTGATATTGGAGTCCGAGTCCCTTCTTAAGCCTAGGTTTTCTGTCTCTCTACAAGAAGATACTCCTAAATCAAGCCGTCTCACATTTAAGTAAGCTGTTGTTGCATTGTATTTGTTTAGTATTTTGAAATACAATGATTTTTTTTTTCTTTTTTACTTTGGTTAGTCTGAGAAACATTTTGTTGGTATGACAAATGGATTTGTTAGGAATTCAAATTCAACTAATTTAAATGATGTTCAACACTTGGTAATTGTTTTTTTTTATTTATTTATTTTTTTTTACCCCAAAAAATATACAAAATTTTTAAAGCTTACATCACATTATATTAATACATAGTTATGGTAAAACTGTTTCTCAATTTGTAACTTGTTATTTGTGACACACAATCAAAGTGCAAATTTCGTGAAGTCATTTAGTCAGTTCAGGGCTGAAGCCTAGGGAAAGAACAATATAAGTATAAAGAAAACCAATTGGAATATGTAATTATCATTACTGTTTTTTTCTTTTCTTTACCAACATGTGATCACAACTTTATTTCTCCCTTTTTATAGGCTTAGGTACAAACGATCCTCTGCCCTCTTCCAGTGGACTGTTGGGCCATTCCTGTGGTTCCTGACTGGCCAGCAGCTCCAACATTCCCTCTTCATGCTAAGAATGATGTTCCCTTTCTGACGTTTAGAGAAATCGGCGCAGACCCCAGTCATTGCAACCATCCAGCTTTCCTCATCTGTGTGAATTAGAGGGTCCATCGAGGGAACAGTGCTTATTGAATAAGGAATTATTTATTTCATTTGATGATTTTTTTTTTTTTTTTTTTTTTTTTTTTTTTTTTTTCATTCCGCTGTTCCCCCAGTCATTTAATTGGATATTTACAGCCATGTAAGAGTTTACTTTAAAATGAAAAGTTTCATAGACTAGAGATTTTTAATTTTTTGTTTCCTTACTAAAGATTTGCTTTTCTTTTGTAAGGTCATTATTAATTTTACTGTCAAAGAGGTCCATTCCATAGTAGTTTACAAATATATCTATTATTTACATTTCAACAGTATCCAAGATTCATGTCAATTAAAGCATGATTATTTTATGATATGTCTTGCGCCGTTACAGTGCTGTCTTTCTGGGTTGATTTATGAGAAGCAAAGATTTTAAAAATATTTTCAGACATTTTGAAAAGATAGTAAATAAATTAAAGTATAAGCTCAGAGCAGCCATAATGTATTTTGAACATGCATATAGTTTGTGTACAGCATAGAAAAGGTATGAATGAGAATGAATATTTTCACAATACTATATTTTCATCAGAAACACATGTATTTCTGATGAAGATGTAATCAAAACTGGTCAAATACATCTCGTGTATTGTGAAGATCTTCATTCTCATTCATGCATTTTCTACATTTGCTGACGTGAATATGGTTCATCCTTCCCTATTGTGTACAATGTTCCAGGAGAAATGTACCAAGTTTTAGATTTCTTGTAGGTAGCCATGCACACTGTAGTATTAAGTATTTATCCTAACACTAGGAATCCTTGTGCCTTATGCTAGTCTGCCATATATTCCAAAGGAGAATTATTTCTCTATCTCTTTTTTTTTTTTTTTTTTTTTTTGGGGGGGGGGGGGGATGGTCTAATGATGTTGGAAGAAATTTCAGATATACATTAAATGTATATTGTGTATGGTTATGAGTTAGAAGCTCTAATCTAAGCCTTTTATTTTTACTGTAATTTCATAAGAATATAAGGTACACAGCCTCTGCTCTGGAAAAGATTCACCGTCTGTTGCAGTCTGCAAAAAGCTGTGATTTATTTTAGCAGCTCTTATTGATATATATTCTTATTCTTATTCTTATTACTATTATTATATAAATACATTTTTAAATTGATTGTTTTTTTTTATCATTTGGATTATCCTTTGTTAGTAGTTTCATTATTATTATTATTATTATTATTATTATTATTATTATTATTATTATTATTATTATTATTATTATTATTATTATTATTATTATTACTATTATTATTATTATTGTTATTGTTAATGTTATTATTATTATTTTTGTTATTTGTCTCATTATCATTAGTATCATTATAACCATTAGCATGACCAGTGCTGATTTTTAAAAATTGACAGTATCATAATCATTTAAACTATGGCCTGGAGCCTTACCCTGTAGTCTGCACATAACAGAATTCTGCAAGGGTTAAACTTGTGTTGCTGTAACATGTGTATTTCAAGGTCATTTAAGGTTACAGAAAAGATTGAGGTTGAGAGCTCAGTGTTCACGTAACTTTTAGATTTACAGAGAAATGTGTTGTGGAAATGTGGATAAAATGCTTAAAAAGGACTTCGGGGAATTAAAGTATTTACAAATATATTGTGGATGTTTGTCAGGTGATTTGTAAGTGAAGTATGAAGCTGTAATATTAAGGTACCTACCTGATATGGTGAATGATATGGATGTTTTGAGAATCTGTAGGTTTTATATATTTGTGGATTGTAAATTTCAAGTAGGATATTGTCAAAAACTGGGGAAAAAATGTATGAAAATAATTACGCCTTCAGTTTCAATAGCATTCTTTAGGGGTGGCATTGGGAAATGGCAATATTAATGTCAAATAATAAAATTAATCATTTACTTCTGGGTGGGTGACATGTGTTATACTATTCTGATTATCTTGGTCAGGTCACAGTTTATAGCTAGTCATATGGACTTTGCACTATATTGGCTGGATACTATTGCAGGTTTAGTTAGAAGAAGAAGAAGAAAAAGGAAAATAATAATAGCATTGGCCTCTTTCTTTCGTATGTGTCTGTATCAAAGCCACAAACATTAACTGTTGGTACATACATATATGAAAACATATGCCCTGGTTGTCTGCACTTGACCTTGCTTTCACGTTTATGTGCAACCCAGGAATTTAGGTCTTTCGGCAATTTTGCTAGACTGGAGGCTTTGAGTTAACTATTGTTTTAAAAAAAGTTGAAGATGTAGTGATAGAAGACATTGATGCTATTCTGTTAACTCGAGGAAGTCCCTGTTAAGGACTTAACTTGTATATATTCAGTGTATCCCTTATTTGCCTTAAAACCATTTTTTGTGGAAATGGCATTTCTACTTAATATACTGTATACTTACAGAATTACAAACAAAACTATGCAGGCAGATAAAACAAGGCTCGATATTTTTTTTTTTTTTTTTTTTTATAAAGTTTATTTTTGTATCAGTGTTTCTGCAAGAGATTTTCTTAAAGAATTTTTTTTTTATTTCATGTTTATTGAATTTAAACCAGTTTGCTCTTAATTAGAAGACAGTTTACAGAGAACAAGTAACTTTCATAGCTAAACTATCATGTTTTATTAGTTATTTATTTATTTTTTTTGTTTTAGAATACAGAATTTATGCAGACTAGTTATAGAATTATGAATATTAAAAGGTACAAAACTGATGTTTTAGATCACAGAGATAAAGATATCATCTTATCGAATAGTATTAAAAAATGTGATGTATTATGTGTGTCTGTATTTGTGTGAAAATTAATGACAGTATATCATGTATATACCTTGAACAGGTAATCTACAGTTTTATACACTTGTCTTTTTTAGCTTTGGGGTTTATTAATGAGGTTTGGTGTCATTTTAAAAAAGAAAGAAAAAAAAATACATTACTGATTCTTAATTTGTTGAAGGTTATTGGATAATTAGATATAAGTTTCCACTGTGTTGTAACAACTTTGAGTAATTAATTGAATATGCATTCCTCATTATTAACATCTTGATTTCAGGTGTATAGTATGTGAAAGCCCTAAACACTACCTTGGGAAAAAATGATATACTGGCATTGAACTCATCAGTAAGGTTAGCTAAATCTTACTGGAGGTTGATTAAATGATTTTGCAGTCTGTAACATGGTCAGAATTCTTTAAATAACACCAGGCTCTATTGGTTCCTAAGGTAAGGGTATTTTCATATACTAACCACCTCATATTTTTGGGTGAGTGTGGAAGAGTACAACACAACTTTGACAGAAATATTTCATGAGCAATATATATTTCTTTTTAGCAAGTTTTCTGTAATCTTTCATCACAGATATTACCATATGTAATAATGGATTTACTGAATAAAAGGGTATTGTGATACTTTGGGTTTAACTTACATTGCTAAAAAACTAAATATGAAAAAAAAACAAATATACAAGAATATATACACAATGGCTGTTTAATTTTTTTCTCTTCATTTTTGCTGATAAGGCATTTTTTCCCAATTAAGCAGTTTTTATTCTAACATTGGAATTCCATACATATTAAAAAGATTAACCCCTCTGAAGCTGTGGATGGTATGTACATACATTTCATGCCCACTGTGGATTTAATTTATTTTTATATGCAGATAACTTCCCCAAGTCCTTAGCCAGCTACTAGTGCTCCTGTTTCAACTGTTTACCCTATTCCTTGATTTTTGGAAATATTTATTTTTATATGTTGCTGTTAGTAGTCACTAATATTATTAAAATAATATAAAGGTCTATAATAATAGCACTGAATTTGATAGCATTAGTAAAACAATATATTTTTCCAAAAATCTCAAAGCAAGGAGAAATCAGGTCAGGTCATGAGCTAAACAAATTGGCAACTTGGTAGCTAAGTACTTGTGGAGCCATTTATATGTAGAGAAATTTCACAACCAATGCTACAGTGAACACTTCATTTACACAGCAGTGGTACTGGATAACTATGACAGACCACTTTTTGTACTGGGAAAGAAATCAAAACAAGAGTATATAGTTCAGAGCCCCCTGTCAACCTGAACCTCATAAATTCCCATTATCCTCCACATAGTCAAATTTCCTCATGATTCTAGTAGGCCGACTCAACAGTTGGACATGTAATTAGCCTTTACACTGAACAAACTCTTTATTAAAGGATGACAAACTAGTTTGATTAAAAAATATTGGCATTAAGAGTACTGGGTATTGAGTATGCACGCATAAAAACTGGAATATAATCATCTCCATAATTTGTATATTTTAAGGGTTAAGGAATCAAAAGAAATGGAATATGACTTTATTGTTTTCCTATTGAAATGACACACTAAGCAATTATTATACCAATGAATATATATGTGTCAAATAGCCTGTCAGTTATATTTTCTAAATACTCTTAATATATGTACTACCTTTCTATTTATTTAATCTTGTCATAGTGGTTATGTTGTAAGTTTTGTAAATATAATTGTGTAGGTGAAAATATATATGTACATAGAATTCTGAGCTACTTCCTCATAAACTAATGAAGATTACTATTTAGTACATTGTATCATACTGTAACTTACATGATTTATACATGGGCAAATTAAAAATTTTACTTTCCAATTTTACATATATGCTACTTATAAACAATTCTTTTCCTCTTAATTTCATCAAACTACTCCAAACATGGAATAAAATATGATAATGAAACTTTATACTACTGCTCCCAGAGAAGAAAAAACAATGAGGAAACAAAACATAATTAGACACTTAGCAAAAATACACACACATGCACACAAAACACAATCCCTAATCTACTCTTAAGATTTCTTGGGTCCAATTGATGCAGCTTGGGCATTGGCTCGAAGAACAGCTCCAGGTGAGGGGTAGGGTCGCATCTGGAATAAAGGTCCGCTGGCTGTGACGTCTGCACCTGTACGGGCTTCATTCCTCTGAGGCAGACCCGATGCCCAAGTACCCCTGTTGATGAGAATAGCATTTTTTTTTTAATTAAAAGAATTGAAAAGATGTGGTTGAAATATTGGATATTGTGAGTCCTATTTTTGATCAATAACATCTTAAATATTATCTAAAAAATGCAAAAAAAAACCTTCAATATACAGATAGTCCCCTACTTAAGAACATTCTACTTATGAACATTACATACATACAAACAAAATTTTTTAAGTACTAAAAGTCCAAAAAATTGTTTGAAAGATGCTAACAAACTTCTAATTTCCCGGGCATGAATATAGTTCAAGAGTCTGGTACTGTATAAGGTATGTCGTACTTATTGGGATTTATTTACAGGTATTCTTAATGTAAACAAAACTTTAAAACAATGGGTAAAAAGATAATGGAGACCTGACTTTCGACATACAAACAAATCAACTTACAAACAGCCTCTCGGTCCCCGTTATGTTCTTAAGTTGGGGACTTACTGTACTTCTTATCAGAATAGTCATCAAAGTAATGAATACTGAAAATCCTCATCGTCCTCACCTTCCACATTCTCCATAGGATGCAGGATCCATGGGATCTAGCTCCTCCGCATGGGCTCTCTTCCGCCCCCTCCTGTCACGTCCACGATCTCGGTCCCGGTCTCTGTCTCTCCTTCGATCCTGCCGCTCTGAGTCTCTCTTCTCTCTTTGGCTTAGCTCATCATCTGAAGCCTTTGTTATAAATGGACCATGAATTTAGAGATAAAGAATAAGAGGGGGATACCTTACTAACAACAACAACAACAACAAAAAAAAAAACCAAAAAAACTAAGAGTCAGCCATGTCTTGAAAACAACTGTAAGAGACTTACATCTGATCTGTCACTCTTGCCATCATCCATATCCTTATCCTCATCCTCATCCACAGGGTTCATCTCAACATCTTCCTCTGCAATTCCTTGGCGATTCTTCTTCATCTCTGCTGCCATCTCTTTGCGGAGGGTTGCTGCAGATCGTGATACCTGGCAGCGAGGGTGACCTGGCGGCAACCAGGAGACTCGATCGGTTTCTGTGTTCCAGTAGTAGTAGCGGCCTCTGTTTAGGAAACAATAGGCATTATGCCTTATTTTAGGAAATGTTACACATTCATATCCATATGTATCTGTCTACCTACAGTATGTGTACGTGCTTAAAAATTCTCACGTGTTTTCTACCAGTTTCATTCAATAAAACCATATGAAAAATAAATAAGAAAGATAACTAAACAAATACAAATTGTAACAAACTTATAAATAACCAAACTGACCATAAACAGACACACACACACAAAATAAATAAACAAAATTGTATCTCCTTACAAGCCCTGATCCAGAATCTCCTTCCAGTGACTTGGCAAGGGATATTTGATCAGCATCTTTAGCCTGCGACGGTCATATTCTGAACTGATCTGCTTCCCTTCTTTCCAATGTTCTCTGCACATTGGGGTACATTCATGGTATACATTCCATTTGTTTGGGCACCCTATATAACCCTGGAAAAGGAACAATGGGGAAAACAAAATAAAAACAGTTAATGGATATTGGCTACACGTAATTCATATATAATAGCTTGAAAATTATTGTTAGTATCTTATATTTCAAATGTTACTGTCAATTTTAAAACACATGGACAAATATCCATTTCTACCAGATGGTTGTTTCAAAGTTCTTTGCCATACCTTACCTCATTTCAACATATCAATAACAGAAATATTACTTCAACTTACAAATATCACTATAAAACCAAACAAGTCTGCTATACATCTCAGGACAAGATATAAATAGTGAACTATCCAGGCAAATTACTTTTAAAAAATGACCCGTTCCCATCTAAATATATACTAAGGAACTTTATAAATCTCTCAGAGTGTAAACATTGCGGTTTGGACCTCAGTTCACAAGGTCCCATTCTTAAACAAATACCCACAATAAAACAACGAACTTAACATAATAGAACAAGCTACCACTTCCTAAAAAAACAACAACAATAAAACAACGAAATTAACGTAATAGAATAAGCTGCCACTTCCTAAAAAAAACAACAACAATCAAACAACGAAATTAACGTAATAGAATAAGCTACCACTTCCTAAAAAACAACAACAATAAAACCAACAGTTCCCAGCTTCCTCGTACCATGTAAGGATCAATGGAAAGCGACTCGACGGGCGTGTAGGCGATGGCGGTCTGCTGAGGCGTGTCATCGTAATCCTCGGCGATAATTTCTTCCTCTGTGGGTGCTGCTGGTTCGGGGTCTGTGGAGGATAGAGGGGGGGGGGGTAGTATGTATTTGCAAAAAGAAAAGAAAAGAAAAAAAGAGAGGTAAACGGGACGGCACATTAGCGTATATGTCTGTACAGTTTGGATGGCTTGGAGGCTTTCTGTATCTTTTCGCGGCTAATTTTTCATCTTAATGTTTTATTCCTTCATTACAGAGAAAACCAGTGACTTACCTGGTTCTTTTATAATTCCCCTTTTAGCCAATTTGGCAGCGAGAGCAGGAGGAAGAGGCATACTTTCGAGACACAAACCAACACGACAAAATCTCCTCAACCTGGAATCAAAACAAACTCCGATTTTATATCCGGGTTGGAGAGTGGAGAATTTTAGGTCAAATTTCTACTCTAAAGGACAAGATAAACAATATCAGAGAACAACGTGAAAATGCATGACAATAAAAGTTTATATATGAAAAATAAAAAAAATAAGCATTCATCATTTCATGGTTGGATTATTGAAATACAGAAAGAAGATTGGGTGATACGTACATACACACCAAAACGTGTGTGTCTGTGTGTGTGTGTGTGTGTGTGTGTGTGTGTGTGTGTGTGTGTGTGTGCATATACACACACAGACATACAAATATGTGTATGTATATATATAGATAGATATGCATATATATATATATATATATATATTATATTTATATATATGATATATACATACACACACACACACACACACACACACACACACACACACACACACACACACACACACACACACACACACACACATATATATATATATATATATATACACATAGGCGCAGGAGCCAGGGGGGCTGCAGCTACTCCAGTCGGGTAAATGCTGGTTGAATTCGGGCAATTTCGGGCAGGGGCGTAGATAGGAAAATTCATAGAGGGGGCGAGAAATGAAGCTATCCCGACAAAAATTTGACACTAATTCTCATTTTTTATTATATTGAACATAACATAAGGCCACTAGAACTAAACGAAACAGAAAACCATCGTTATTTTTCCGACAAGTGCAGCAATTTTCCGACAAAATGGCAGTTTAGCCTTATAGGTGGGTTCCCCACCCCCCCGACCCCCTCTATCTACGCTACTGGTAGCATTTATCACAAATTTTCTGGCAGGTGAAATTTCTCTTCCTCTTTCACTCGGGCAGAAA